TGGATGGAATACCTTTTACAGTGGATGCCACCAATCAGATCCATTGCATTGAGGATTTTCATAAGTGAGAATTGAATTGCATTTTTTGATCTAAATGTATTTGTATGTTTCTTCTCTAACATAGTGAAGTATGCTTTAGTTTTAAAAAAAATATGACGTAATCACCAATAACTTGTTAATTTATGCATCCTGTTTCTTTGTACCGTATAGGAAGTTTGCCCCACGTTGCTGTGTCTGTCAACGACCCATCATGCCCCAGGCTGGCCAAGATGAAACTGTCCGTATCGTGGCAATGGATAAATCATTCCACGTGGATTGTTACCGCTGTGAGGTATTCTATTTTTAGTTATACTTGTTTTATTGGGGATTGTCTGTTTATTAATTAAGCTTAATTCATTTCCAAGCTCCTTAATTCATTTCCAAGCTCCATAAATTCAATCAGGGATGTCTGCAGAATAGTCAGTTTTTAAATGTAGCTTCTATGCGTTTCACAGACCACAGCATTATTCTTTTTTCTAATAAATGTGATCTATTGAGTACAAATTATGAAACTTGTTAACATTTAATATTAGGACAAGATGACCAGCTATGTAAATATACAAGCTGCCTCATGTTTTATCATTGAAATTTACTGTCCATATCAAATATTTCTATGGTAACATCTTTTCCTTTAACAAATATTTAAAATTATGATAATACACATTTTTAGAATTAATCTTACTGTGAGTATCTCATTGGTTGGCAATGTCTCCAAAACTGTTTATTAAATTTGATGCTTTCTTTTGTTGTTCATAAACTTGTTAATTTATGGGCTGTATAATAATTTTTTTTATTTTGAAAGAGGAAATCAAACTTTTACTTACAAATTTGTTTCAAAATTTTTAAGTATTGTTATACAGTTAAATTTCTTTAAACTTAAATGACATGAACTCCAAAAAAAAAAATGTTTTAGCAACAAATCTATTTTCAGTTTCCTTTACAAGAAAGACAATCATTGATTCATGCTCTATGCTTTTCAGGCTTTAAAGTTCTAGACTCAAAGTTTTTTTAAAATTTTTCTAGGACTGTAACTGCCAGTTGAGCTCAGAAGCTGAAGGTCGTGGTTGCTACCCATTGGATGATCACATTCTGTGCAAGAACTGCAATGCTAAGAGAATCCAAGCTTTAACAACCAAAATGTCAACTGAACTGTAGATTTCTTGTGCTGATGATACACACACTAAGAAAGATCTAGGAATACTATTGCATTTACAAGCTTAAAACTATGTTGAAACAATTTTACTATTGTATTACTAAAAGAAAATGCCTTGTTCTGATAAGCACAATGTTATTTTAAGCAAATTATTGTAATTTTTTTTCTATTAAGAAAATTATATCAAACTATATAGAATTGAACACTATATGTTCTATGTACTTTTATTACACATAGGACTTGAAGTTTATGAAGCATGAAAGTAGCGCTATATAAAAAGCTATAATAATTATCAAGTAATTATTAGATCTAGAAGGAAAGAGACTTTAATTTTGAAACATTTTAACCGCTCATTTTTTTTTTACTCAATTTCATTATCAATATTGTATATCTAACATTGAGAAACATTGCTACAATGATAATATAAAAGATTGGATTGGATATAATTTTTAAAATATACTTAGTCCCAGTACATCTACACTACTTTGTGCTTGTTGTTTTGTGACCCTCAATTCTGAGAGACCTTTGTTCCAAAAATATTATTTGTAATGATGCTTCATTCTAATTGAGAGAAAGGAAATTTGTATCCTCTTTTAGATGTTAGTATCCTTAGATTTTAGTACATGTCTAGAAAGGAGGCAGTTTTTGTTTTTTTTTTCTTTTAAAGAATGCTGATTCTGTATACTCGTGTTTTAGTTACTTTTTGGTCATATATTTTAATACCAGTAGTTCTTTGTAACCTTGTTTAGTCTAGAATTCTTTTAAGCTCTTTGTCCTCTTTCTCTTATTAATGTCACAGTGTGTAAATAATTACATGTCCAACCTTCAACAGTGGCTGATCTCCAAGTCAAACCTTGTGTAATTACTTGTCCCCAATGAAATAACTGTATAAAGGACTTTTGTCTTTCCCTATGATGTTAAGTACGATGGAGTTGACTGTAATGATGTAAAGTACAATGTAGTGAACTGTAATAAAATATATTCACACTGTTATCTGATGTGTTGTTTATTTTCTATCAGCATTATCACCAATTCAACCAGTACCTACTCTATAGTATTTTTAATAGTGCTCTTCTTCTTTTTTTTTGTATAGTCAGGATGACAGTGTCTTGCTGTAGGAGAGTTGGAATGAGCACTTATGTTGTTTAGCTTTGTGAATACAGATACAAGTTTACATTCATGCTGTTTGCAAGTTTGATAAGGAATTATGTTTATATTTGTGTTTATATTAGATCTTTTGGCTTTTCAAAATTTGATATATTGTGTAACAATGAATACATTTCATACTGTGTATATATTTTAAATTTGTAGTTATAGATGAATATTTTAGACAACTCTTTTATCTGATATATCTCTTGATGACAATGTTTCAATGATTCTAATATTACCTTCTTTTGAAACTAATAATTACTATTAAAAATATTGAAAAGTAATATAGCTCTCTTTCTTTTTCTGTGGTAACTTTAAGAGAGAAGTACACCAATTTAAAGATAAAACTTTATATATCAGAATTTACCTTTTTTTTAAAAAAAAATAAAAATTGTTCACTTGCCTTCTGCTTGAATGTATGGTCATTGTTGAGGGCTGTTTTATTATCTGTCATCAACTGCATAATATGCTAACTGGTTGAGATGTAACCTTGACAACAATTTATTTGTTTAATTTTAGATCTCATTTCTGACCTTTTTTTTTTTTTTTTTTAATTGCTTTTACATTTTGATATGGACAGTGATTAATATTACATTGGTATGAGAACTTTTTTTTTAACTTGAATGCTGATTATAGAGCATCAAAACAAGAAATATTTACTAGAAAGTTTGCATAATCTCATTTGTTTGTCCAAAAAAAAATAATACAAAGATTAACTGTTTTTCTTTAAACCTTTACAGAAAATATATATTCAAAAAGTCACTTTGACCTTACACAATGTTGTTTCACTCATTAATATTTATTACAAAAGATTTTCTCACAAAAATAAAAAAAGCTGGTTGTTCTTTACCATTGGGTATGGGTACAAATTATTGTGGCATCAACATAAACAGTTAAATTTACCAGAGTTAAATAATTAAATCTAAAATAATCCCCCCCCCCCCTTCCTCCATGTTCCTAACTATAGAACATTACCTTTGTCAACTCTCACCTAGTCATTTTGTAAAGGGTAAATAAAAAAAAAATGTGTTCCTCTGGCATTGTTAAGAAATTTCTTTAACATTTTTTTGTACTTGTTATTTTGATTTTTTTTTAGAGGCCTTATTGATTGATATTAAACTATTATTCTGTGTAAACAATGTAGTCATATCATGTAGTTGGCTTTGCTTATTTTCAGTCACTGGCAATTTTAAAACCTTTCATCATGTTTTTAAACTATTGTTACTAAAGTTTATTGTAACTAATTTATTATCCGTAAGAATGTGGATCATTACTAGTCATAAGTTATACCAAAAAATAAAAAAGATCCCTAAAAAAATATATTTAAAAAAGTAATTTTGATGCACCACTATAGATATATTTAGTATTATGAGCCATCATTGAAGCTTCAACACATAACTTAAAATTCAAATTCTCTATTACAAAGTTTTAGTAAAAAAAAGTATATAACTAAAATAGATGCGATATGGATACCAGTTAATGTCACATATCAATAATTTTTTTTTAAAATCTACACATATTTTTCATATTATAAGCATTTTTATAATCAATTTTAAAAGCTTGCCAGTAATCTGAATTAACTTATTAAAAATATAAAAACAATGACCTGTATTTGTAAATAGTATTTATGGCTTCAGTAGTGCATTTTTGCCACTTTTTGAAAAACAATTTATACATTTGGACTGTGTTATACAATTTTGTTTGCATTAAAATTGTACCAGCTTGGCTATGTATGCGTGTGCACATAATTTGAGTGTATAACCCTGCAGAGCATTGAGATAGGCCATGTAGAATCATAATATTTGGGATGAAGCTTTGGCTAAATCATATTTCTGTGGCCTACTGTAGGATCTTGTACTAAGATTGCTTGTTACACTCGAAACTCTTTTTTTTTTTTTATTCCTGGCTTTTCAGGACGGTAAAGGAGGGCCAATATGGTATTTGGAAAATTATAATTATTATGTGGTCGTCATCTCAGTTTTATGCTTAGCTGTATTTTTGTTTCAGTGACCTGTGATTGATAGCTTTAGCAAGATTTTTTGTCATGTAATTTAACAAAATTGAGTGCTCATATATGGTATATTATTGTAAAACTTGTATGTATCGTATCAAATTATTTTTAGTACTTTTATTTCTTTTTTTAAAGTACTGATTAACACTTCACTAGTACTAATTAGGCTCTCTCATATGTTATAAATACTAGTGTTTTAACATTGGAGATGTTTTTCAGTTTTATTTTGAAAAATAAAATTTTCAACACTATAAAATTTATGTAGTTTTTTTTTTTTACATTAAAAGAAAAATGTTTTCATAATTTTTCTACAACGAAAAATATTTAGTTTCAATTGGATTGAAAAGTTTTATAATGTTTACTACTGTACTTAAGTGTCATGTCAAATGACTTCTGTATATACCATTGTCTTGTCAGTATTGTGTATCTTTAACATAATTGATATTATAATTACCATTGTTGAAAGGTGGAGCTAGTTGGACATTTTGCATGACACAAAATAAAGCATAATATATTTTGGCCATCCCAGAAGGGACCAACTTTTTGCTGTAGCGTACCTTAGAGAGGGTTTGTTCAGTCTTGCCTTAGGGAATGAATGAAGTAGTTCCAAAGTGTTTTTTTTGTTAAAAAAGAGTTGTATTGTTTTTAAAGCTTTAGCTTTTAATCATCTTTCTTTGAGAGCTTTTTTTAGTAATATTATGAAAACATTGTTTTAGACCACATTAATATCGAATTGATACTGCCACTCTTTACCTCTGTTTGCTAATATTGATTATCCAAACTTAATGTCACTGAATTGTTGCTTTAAATTGCATAATAAGCACATAGAAAAAAAGTCCTTTTGAAATTATGTTTAAAAAAAGAAAATTAGCCATTCCATTATAAGTGCAATGAATTATTTATGTGTTTTTCATTTTTGTTAAAAGGCTAATTTAGCGCCACATTTTTTTTTTAACTTTTTGATGTTAGATATCCTAGTAAGACAAGGATTTGTAGTTCGTTATGTTAATTATAATGTTTACTAAGTCTGCTTTAGCATGGGCTTCGTTAAAACACTACGAGAACGATATGTATTTCAAGTTGCTAACAACTAACTGGAAATAAAATTTGTGCATCAGACAAAAAATGGTGTTTCTTTTTAAAATAGATCTTTTGTCAACAAAAATTTTGAATGTTATTGCATAAAGTTAAACAAAATTATATTTCTGAGGGTTTAATAATTTGATTAGGATGAATATGTTCATAAAACATATAAATAGTGTTTTTTTTTAATTTTGTGTAGCTCTTTGTCAATATGATTGAAATTAATAATTTAACAAAATTTCAAGCAAAGGAATGTTTTTCTATCCTACTTTTATTGAAAACATTTAAGAAATAACATTCAAACTAGAGACACAATTGATAATGAATTTAAAAAAAAAAACATGACATTCTGATAGGTTATTGTGCAGGGATTAAAATTTAAATATTTTTTGAGTCAAAAACATTTATAAAGAAGCCACCTTTCCGAGCCTTCAATAATTGTTCTTTGACAAAGCTTTCAGCATTAAAGTCCTCTCCAGTTTTCTTGATTTCCTCCAATTCTTTATAATACTTTGCCAACCTTTTAGCTTTTCTGGCTTTTTTCTGCCTGCTCCACAAGAAATACATCCTCTTCCTTAACTTTTTCAACTTGTGCTTCTTCATTTTCTTGTGACGAATTCTCATGATTATTTTGGCCTCTTTGGCTGGCTGGCTTATCCCAGGGCTATCCACAACTTTATCTTGCCTAGACGTCGGGGCTTCAAGGGAGTCTCTGAAGCCTGATGACACAGGACAGTCATAAAAGGTGGTAAGAGATGTTGCAGTGTCAAGAATAACTAGCTGGGAAAAATGTTCCAGAAGTCTTGAAGGGCATTTGTACTGCTGTTCCACCTGACTGGAAGATGCAGCTTCCTTTGAAAATGTTGTCCTAGCATTGACTTGATGACTATCTAAATCCAGATTTTTTGTCTTCAAGAAATAAACAGCACTTGAGTTAGGTAGTGAATTAAACACAGCATTTTCTTGGTTATGTTGAGAGATCATTGCAGAACTGGATCTGCAAACTGAACACACAAAAGAAAAAAATGTATTATTAAATTATTGTTGTATATCAATAGCTTAAATAAAAATATAATTTTTTTTTTCCATTTTAGCCAAGTAAGCCTATGTGTAACGAGAAATATTTCTAGTTTTACCATTCAAGACCAAGAGGTCTAAGATATAAATAAAGCTTTTTTTTATAGCCAGTGATTGCAACGTGAGGCCAAACACATTCTATTGCTTTTATTTTGTACAACAAATGTCATGTATCATGATAGAGCACTCAACTAAGTCAGTGGAATTTCATATTAAACCCAAGATGCAGACCAATGTCCAGATTGCTAAACACAGCATTCAAAGCTTAATGTTTTTGGAAAAAATCTTGTTTTTAAAGGACTTTACAATTTTAGTTGTTACTTTGAAGGTTATACTTAAATCTTAATTTAAAAATTTCAACTCTACCCTGAAGTGTCCAAAAGATTAGAAATGTTACCCGTGGCTTGTCCTTGAATTAACATTCATTAGTTATTGAAATCAAAATAATCGCTCTATAAGATGTATAAAGGAGATATTGTCTTTTAAAAAAACAAAGTATTTTTAATGTTTTTCTTGTTTTAGGCTCTGTTCAAGTTTCTAGTGAAATCATACACAGAGGATGCATATTCTAGAACTGTTCGTTATTTTAAACAGCAATTTTGGTTTGTCTTGTAAGTTGACAATTACAAATATATTATAATATTTGTAACTATTCATTAAAAAAGGAATTCCATAAAAACTTTCCATTTATTTTAACACCAAAGAATTCATAGTATGACTAATTGGCTAAACAGGAGTAAAATAAACTAGAATTCGACATAGAAAACGGAAAGAGATATTTAATAAGAAAACTAAGCAATGTCAAGGATGATAGTTTACAGTTGTCAACCAAATAATAAACACATAACTTTGTGTTAAAAGCAAAGGAGCTAAGAAATTATATTCTAAATAGCTGGATATGCCTTTTAAAATATATAGCATCTCAAAAATTAAGTACAACAATAATGATAGGTTTTGAGTGTGTCTGAAGATTAATGAGGAATACAGTATTTCCCGTGGCTGCGCAGCCCCAGCTGTGACCTGCATATTTTGCCACATCCAGGGCAATATATATATACACACACACAGATTTTAACAAGCATCATGTATTATTGTACTATGAAGGTGGGTTGGGATGAACAGATATTTAACACAAAAAAAAGTTGTGTACATCTGATATACCTAGTCTTAAAATCTTTATAAAATATACATGTTATTTTTTAGAATTCTAAATATTTTATCATGACAGAGATGGTGTTAAAAAATGTGCCATAAAGCTCAATTCTAAAAATGTTTAAAGAAAGCTAAGATTTTAATACTTATAATAGAGAAAAAAAATCTTCATTAAAAATTTTGAGATCATTTGTACCTCTAAAATTCTGTTTCCAAAAAAAAAAATCCATATAATGTACTAATAATAAACATAACATATATATATACAGATCTATTAGCATCCTTCTGTCTTGAGAGACAAGGAATATACTCTAGGAACAACAGGCCCAACTGCTCTACATCAGCATCAATATTTTCTCTTAAGAACACATTTATGATAATGGGATCAATGGGTTGCCCGAGCATTGTCCCTCTCTCGACCTAGCGGTGTATCTGAGCCACAGGAATGCTTTACAATACATTTGGAACCATATGGGGTTTTGTTGACTGATTTATTTACTTGAATTGAGTCTCTCCCTAAAATTACCCTTCCATCCATATTAATACTGAAGCAGCAATGGAGGGATAGCACCAACAGATATGCTAGTGACCTGTAAAAAAAAAAAGTATAGTTTCCCTTTCAGACCTTGTGGTCTATAGGGCAGATGATGTAAAGGTCATCTGATTCTGTGGCCTACGGGTGTCATGTGGCCAGCACAACGACCAACCGCCTTTACTTTTCCCCAATTTATGTCAGGTACACATTAGAGCTGGATACACTCAGAGGCGCCCAAGGATCCCAAAATAAAAAATCTTCACCAGGATTCAAACCCAGGACTCCCGGTTCAGAAGCTAAGCGCTTTACCGCTCAGCCACTGCACCTCCCTAGTGACCTGTACCCAGCTAGAAATTTATTTATTTTTTGGCAAGTGACCTCTAATGAAAACGTATCTAGTAAACACTTACTAAGAGCTGGGTAACATGGGCATAAGTTGGGGAAACAGCTGAAAACCATGATTCTTAAAGGGGGGTGGGGGTGAAAAATAAACAGGAACATGTCAAATGTATATAAAAAAGAAAAAGGTAGCACCCATTTCAGACAATCTACAGGGTAGATAATGTAAAGGTCATCTGATTCTGTGGCCTACGGGTGTCATGTGGCCAGCACAACAACCAACCGCCTTAACTTTTCCCCAATTTATGTCAGGTACACATTAGAGCTGGATACACTCAGAGGTGCCCAAGGATCCCAAAATAAAAAATCTTCACCAGGATTCAAACCCAGGACTCCCGGTTCAGAAGCCAAGCGCTTTACCGCTCAGCCACTGCACCTCCCTAGTGACCTGTACCCAACTAGAAATTTATTTATTTTTTGGCAAGTGACCTCTAATGAAAACATATCTAGTAAACACTTACTAAGGGCTGGGTAACATGGGCATAAGTTGGGGAAGCAGCTGAAAACCATGATTCTTAAAGGGGGGTGGGGGCGAAATATAAACAGGAACATGTGAAATGTATATAAAAAAGAAAAAGGTAGCACCCATTTCAGACAATCTACAGGGTAGATAATGTAAAGGTCATCCTTTTTATGACCAATGGTTGACAAGTAGGCTGACATGTGGTCAGCACAATGACCAACTACCTTTACATGTCAGGTACCCATTAAATTTGGGTGAACTAAGCGGCGTTCTAAAATACCAAAATCCCAGAATGCACCAAGATTTAAATCTGATCCTAAGTTGGGAAGCCAAACACTTTACCACTCAGCCGCTACACCCCTTAAAAGCACATGTATAATATAATAATAAAATATATACTCTAGATTTAGAGCTATGTACTAACCTGAAGCCACAGTGAATGATGAGAAGCGAGAAACAGCATTATAACATGATAATCCTTTGCGACTCAGACTATGTAGTGCCATCATTAAATTTGTAAGTTAGATCTGAAAGTCAAAATTGTTTAAGAGTTATGGACTATCTACATTTAAGCTAAGGACTGAGGGTTTAAACTTCACATTTTTGACAGGTTTAACATTAAGTATACCTAGAATTCTAGACTTGCCAAAGTTGCTACAATATTAACTTAAAAAAAGAGCAGTCTAGGTCCTATTCTATTAGACTATAATATACAAGTTTTAGATTATATAGATTACCTTGTTAGATCTATTACTAGCTTACTACTAGATTCTGTGGAGCATGTAATATTTATTAAAATATGGATACAGTTAATATAGAGTCGACTAAATAATTTAAAAGTGTTAGATCTACATTTGTGACTTTCACTTTTTAACTTTACTTGTTTAAGGTACACATTTTCATAAAACCTCAGCCAGTGTTAACGGTAAGTGAAAATGCAAAATTTACAAAAATTAACCGTTGGGTATATATAGCAATAATCTATTACATCTTATCTTATAAAATACAGATGTTACTTCAAAAAAAGATTATTGCTTCCTATGCATGTCCCTAGGTCAATCTAGTCATGCATGTTAATTAATAACTTAAATTCTGCCAAGTCACTGGTTGACTCAGGCAACCCATTCCATGATCTAACAGCACAAAGGAAAGCTCAGGACAAGCACTACGATTATTTTATTGTCAACATTTTGTAAAAATAGAACATTTTATTACAAAAATAAAGAATAATAACTTCATATTGAGTTGGTTTTTAAAAAATAATGTAAATAAATTTTATACAACAATATAATAATTTTATATAAAAGCACACCCTATAAGTTAAACTTTATTTTGACTTATGGATTATAGCCAAGTAATAAAAATTACCAAAATGGAACACATTTTTTTTCAATTTTTCAAAGAAAATCTTGTGCCA